GTACCTTCCTCATCGACATGATTGTTTACACCTGCAAAACATCAGGACCCATCCCTGGCTCAACATGATGGTTGTAGTAGTTAAAGTTATGTGTCACCTTGGCTGGGCCATGGTTTTGAGTGGCTGGGCAGCTGAATGCAGTTATTCACCATGAGATTATAATCACCTGTATGGTGGAACCTGCAGTGAACAGCTAAGTAGTTGCCTTTGGGGGTGTGGCTGCTTCCAGTATATAAGAAGAAACTTAGAGGACAGTCTCTAGCTTTTGGGCACATGTGGATCCTGCATTTGGCCAAAACTTCATCTCAGTGGCCTGCTCTGTTATCTGCCAATCTTGGGATTGTCCCTGGACTTGAACTAGTGGCCTGCCATGTTGCCCGCTGATCTTGGGACTTTGCCATTTTACCTATTATTCTTGGGTTTGTCAGCCTTGGCAGCAGCAGCTGCCTGAGTTAGGAGATGCCTCTAGCTCCAGTGTGCCTGGAATAAGAGGCAGAGCTGAAGCCCAAAGTCAAAGGCCTTCTCCCAGCCCCTAGAGCCAGAATTCTGAACTTGGACTTCCAGCCTCCTAAACTGTAAGAGAGTAAATTCCTGTTTGTTAAAGCCATCCATTGGTGGTATGTCTGTTATAGCAGCACTAGAGAACCAAGACAATAGTATTAGTCATCATGACCACAAGCTAGCCAACTCCAAGCAGTCCTACTCTTTACAATCATGGAATCTTTTCCATTCATCTTTATGTAAACATGTGTTCAATCATTCCCATTTCATTCAGTGCAAATGGGAGTTTCTAGAATGCACCTCTGGAAATCCTTTTTCCTTTGGAGTCATGTGGCTGGACTGAGGTTTCAGAGGGTGTGTTTTTTCTTTTGTTCCCACAGGCAGAATGCATCAAAACTGGCCTGGGAACACACACCTGCGTGTGCCAGCAGGGATGGACCGGGAACGGGAGAGACTGCTCTGAGATCAACAACTGCCGGCTGCCCAGCGCTGGCGGCTGTCACAGCAATGCAACCTGTTTGTACGTCGGCCCAGGGCAGGTAGGTGTGCTATGGTTGAGAGCAAGGAAGAAGCAGTGGCTTTGTTCCTCCTAGACACCGAAGCACTTTGGCTAGAACTTACTCCTGCTTGTTTTTGCTTTTGTCTTTTTAAATCATTTGTAGCAATAGAATGGGCTAATTGTCACAGCAAACCTATGATATTGTTGTTGTTGTTATGTGCTGTCAAGTCAGACCCGACTCATAGTGACCCCTCTTTGGGTTTCTAAGGCGGTATCTCTA